TGAAAAAAACCCACATATATGCCCAAATTTTGGTGGGAAAAGAGTACTTAAGTGTGACGTGAGGTGCAGAAAGGGAACCCAGGAGCGGAAACGGAGCCGGTTATAACAATGATTTATTTAACAAAGGGGCGGGTGAATCCACAAAAAATCAAAATTGCAAGAGTCCTTCAAAAAACACAAAAGACGTCCAGAGAGTGCTGGACGGTGAGGGCACAGGAGGCACTGGAAAAGACGGAGGAGAGACACAGTTACAAAAACTCATCAAAATGCACAAGAGAAAGTTCACAATGTTACCAAACGGGAGCCAAGCTGATACCACGGAGGTTCTCTGTATACTCTGGCGTCAAGGAGTGTCTCAGCAGGCTTAAAGTAGGCGGCTTGATTGGCAAAGCAGAAACAGGTGAGTCCAATCACTCCTCGACGCAGCAGGGGGGAAGGATGCCTCCGGAGGAACAAAAGTAAAGTTACCCAAACAACACACACACAACCGGAACATACTATCAAAATAAAAGCAGCAAATACAAACCACAACACTTAAGTCCCCCAAAACAATGAGCAGGGATGTTATCAGCATGGCTAGATACCACGAAAGGTAAGTGAACCGGAAAGGTGAATGGACTATTTAAATAAATTAATGACAAATCTTAGAATTATGACTATAAATACCAAATCCTGACTTTATTTTTCATTTCTATCGTTAATTTATAATGATAATAAAAATGGCAAAAATGTATATCTTCTTTCTCTCCAAGTATTTAGTTGGTCATGGTATTGGTATTGGTAAAGGATATCTTAAATTAACACAATAAAGGATAGTAGTGTCATGTACAGTGACTTCACTTTTTCAACAAATAGTGTTAGTTAATAAGGTTGTAACATCCACAGATACAGTTTTTCGGGTAGACACAATCTGGGACTGTGACCGAAGTGCTCACTTTAAAACCATCATTTTAGGCCAAATATATAAACCCTTTTAGGGCCAAAGTCACAATGACGTCAAATATTAGCTGGAGGCGAAACTAGGCTTGCCACCACAGGGCTGTAGGCTACATAGGAGTCTTAAAATGTTGTCTTGTTGTGTTATTAGGTGCCAGAAAAGAAGGAGTCATGGCTCAAAACTTAATTTTTTTCACATACCAGCTGCCACTGCCCATCAACAAAAACAAAGACAACTATGATTAAGTGCGATAAGGAGAAAGAACTGGACGGAGGCGATCATCAAAAATGCATGCGCAGCGCACACTTCATATCAGGTTATGGAAAAAGTATTTATTGTTGTAGAATAAAGTTATGTGTATTAAGTGTTCATCATGTCCACCTAATCAGAGGAATATTGGATTTTCCTGTAACGCTAACTTTTTAGTGCATTAGCTAACGTTAGCTTTGATAGCAACACAAACTGGAGGGAACCGTTCCAAGTGTCGTCCTTCTTTGTAAGATTGGCATGGTAATCAACCACAAAGCTGGCCACCCCACCTTCAGCAATCCACTGACATCATCCATCCACTGAGTGAGAGCATACGGATCGGCCAGTCAGTGTTTACTTTTTCAAGTAACACTCACGGTGCCGGAGAGTGAGTGACCTGACATGGTGCGTTTGTAAATTCAGGCCTGACACTCTACACTAAAATGAGAGGCCTGTTGGTCGAAGAAAAGTAGTGTTATATTTCTCTATGAATTAATGAACAGTTAAGTTAATCAAACATTCACTCCGCTCTGCCCTCTGCTGCTCCATCTCCTCAGACAGAGTGCCTTGAGTGTGCTCTGCCACTCAAAGAGTGCGGTGCTCTGGATAACCAAACCGGATATTCCAACAGAGCTCCAAATTTACGAATGGTCCAACTTGTGCCAGTGTGCGCTCTGACACTCAAATGAGTATTTCCATACGCACCACTCGCACCACCTTCCAACATTTGTCTAAAACAAGACAACAGAACTTGCTAGCCAGTGCTAGTTAATGTCTGTGGAGAATTGTTTTGCCTCCAGCTAAGCCCCGCTCACCAAAAAACATTGTACTGTTTACTAAAAGTAAAAGGGTCTATATACCATAAAACGTCAATTAGAATCCCCGGCTATTTTCCTAAATCACTGAAATCAACAGGCCTACATTTGGCTTTTATGTCCTTTTACACAAAACTGTTGCTCAGCAAAGAATGGGAATTACAATCAAATTGTTCTATTTAAAAATTAGGCTTCAGATAATATGTCAATTATGAACCATTCATTTGCTCTAGCTCCTACAGACAGTACATCAGAGAGAGAGAGAGAGGGAGAGAGAGAGAGAGAGAGAGAGAGAGAGTTACAGCACTCGAGGATTACGGCATCCGGCATACCGACACAGCACCACGTTATCCTGTTAAAACAATACTCACAACTTGGATTCATTTTTATGGAAAATCCTATTGATTCTTTTGATATGAGGACCCTTACGGACTAAAGGGATATGAACAACTTAGAGGGTAATCGAGGAACAGACACATAAAACAAAAAAATGTGCTGCTTGGCAACCAGACCAGGTGTCTAATTGAGACAGGCGTTTATTTGTCAAAATAGCCACACCAAAAGGGACTGGGTGTTTGATTAGTACTAGGCTTTTAATTGAAGTTTTACGGTACTTATTTTGACTTCAAACTATGTATTTTTGCAATGGTGGGAAAACTCCATGAAATAACATTTACACCACTGAGTGACAGAAAATATATTATGATACATGAGGGACGTTGAATGCATTCATTTTAAGTTTCATTGGACCAAGGTGTCTGCCAAGTCAATATAATGTAAAATTATTTCTTTTAATTAGAAAGAGAGAAATATTTTAAGAAAGGATGACTTCATAAAAAAAATTCCACTGCAAGTTTTCCAGGTTTTCTGTAGCTGTGAACATTGCAAGTATAGAACTTGATTTTCTGATAAATGAGGTTTAATAAAAGCCCAACATAAGTCTAATGTGCCAGTGTAATTCTGGTGTAGTTACTATGAATAATAAATATAAATCAACCAAAACTATAAATTTGCTCTGATAGGACTCTACTAAATCTGCTATGGTAGTTAAATTGTGAGAACACCAGGGGCTACTCTGGAATGGCTGAGGGGGAACTTTAAAGGGAACTTTAATATAAGTTGAACCCCCCTCGGCTCTTTTCAATCTGTCTTTAAGGACAATGTGTTCAGATCTTGCTACAGCTGACCCGTGACCAGCAGGGTGCTCAGAGGTAATGTGTGTGCGGAGCTATTGTTTCCGTGAAAAGGCCCAGGGATGTTGCTTTTCATCATGGGAAAAACAGCATGATGGTTGTGGTGGTGTGGTCTGAATAACCTGATACAAAATGAACCCTGCCGAGTCTGTGTTTATACTTATCTCATGTTCAGATTTCTAATGTTAGCTGATATTATTGTTTTAATAAAGGGTCTATTCCATTTTATTTAAAACCCACAAGTATCAATGGCACAAATTCTCATGATGATGTGTAGCTTGCTTTTTGTTCCTATAGTCTGCTGTAATGTTGACACAGTATATTTACCTGCAGTTGAAGTGGCAGCCCTCACCCTGACCTTCCCCCAGCTCAGCCAGTGAGAGGTCAAATCAGTTCGTCCACACTGAGACAGAAATAGAAGCCCTCGTACACTGCGATGCAAACCAATACATTGGTCTGTGTACTGAAAAAGAAGGATAACAATTTTAAGTTTGGCAACAATGCAGGCTGGGTATGAAAGCGTTTTCTGAGAGGTAGGAGATATGTATCAACGCATAAAATAGCACGGGACTAACCATTCATGGCTTTACTAGAAAATGCTGGAAGCTGTTAAATAGCAAACGTGATGTTAACCGATAAAAGTGGAAATTATTTATTAAAGAGCCACATAATTTGGAGACAAAAGTACCCATTGTTGTTGTTCTCCCTTTTTCTTTCCACTCCATTCATGTATTTCCCTTTTTTTCACTCATGGCCCTGTATTTTACTGAAGCTCAGTCTCCTCTTTTTTAATTTTGTTTACATAGCCTATTTACTTGTATCATATCTATTTCTTTTTTTTCTTATTCCAACCCTCTTTCTTTGTGTGTAGCTTTATGTTTATCCATTGTTCTTCCTATATAAAAGTTTTGTTTTTTCCTAATAGAAATATATGTCATCCCCTGTTAAAGTTAAAATGATTGCTTTGACAAAAATAATACAAAAAATATAAATCTTTACTGATTTCTCCAGCGCTTTCAACTGCACCTCATTAGCAAAAGGATTTTGCTGTCCTAATGTGACATAGGCTATTTGGAACTTGGTCACTTGATAGCAGGTGGCTGTGTAGCCTATATGGAGGGACACAGTACCCCCTGTCTCCGCTCAAACATGATCTTGCCAAGTGGGCAAACTCCATCTGCTGATTAAGACCATTAGCCTACATGCTGTTGAAAGCTCCATAAAAAGGTAGTAAATCTGTCTTTGGTGAAGACAGTTTTAAGACTGTTGTTTTATTGTACATAATTATTAATTTCTTGCAGTAAATCATCCACTGACGAAAAATGAGCGGTGTTTTGCGGATGCAGTGCAGATGAGAGGTCACTTTCAGCACTAACCTTGGTGACGTTTCCTGTGAGTGCTTCACAATAAAAGCCAACCCGTGGTTCTACAATCTAATGATTTTAATGTGAAGGATCAGCAGTAGAAAATGTTGGGTGATATAAATGAGATGTAGGCTAATAATGAAATAAAACAAAACAAAACAAAATAAAACAGGAAGGCTGTATTACATGTTGTGTGTGCTTCCTGTGATTCCCTCAGGCATGTGAAAGCTATTTGAGTCCTGCACATGAAGGACGGACAAACTCAATGTGAATACACAAGATAAATGGCTGTTGCGGAATAAAAATCAATCGTATTAACTATCAAAACTGATTGCAGGAAAATCTCGACGTGCATATTCCTTAATATGTTTCCCTTTGACAAATTAAATGAACATATAATACGCTGGTGAAAGGATGTGTGTTTCACCTTGACGGTTGACTGCTGCTGCGGATGCAGTTCCAGACGCCTCCACTGAGCTTCAGAGCGATTCCTCCATGACTCTGCTCATGTAGCAGCAGGGAGGGATGTGTTGTATCATCCAGGCAGCCCGGCAGACGCTTCGGTCCTTCAGTCGGAATCCTGCTGCCTCATCATGGCTCTCAACATCCCCGGCGTGGCCGTGATGCTGCTCTTCTACCTGCTGGTCCTCGGGATCGGCATCTGGGCTTCTTTCAAGTCCAAAAAGGAAGCCAAAAAGGGCCAGGGGAATAAGACGGAGATGGCTCTGCTGGGCAACCGGGGCATCAACCTGGTTGTCGGCATCTTCACCATGACAGGCGAGTAGCTGCGGTAACGGAATAACGGGGACAACGGGGGAGTCATTTTGTCCTTTATTTGTCTTCTAAAAATATATTTTTGCTTCATTTTATTTCATCAGTGTCCCTTTGTGCGCATGCCATCTTTTTTTTATCCTCGACTCGATTTCTCACGTTGCCTTAAAATCCTGTATTTGCCAAAAATAGAAGAAAACAAAATGTACACTCGCATCTAGCGCAGTTTCACAATTTATTTTATAACGACTGAATAATGAATCCTAGCGGGCCGGATTACAGTTTTAAGCCTACGAGGAATTATAAAATGCATGTTTTTAATGTTCTAATAATAACTGATGGTGCAACAATAGAAATGGTTTCAAATCAGGAAAGCACCGTTGTTTAAATAAATCTGTTAATGTGGTTTGAAATAAGATTAATGTAAAATAAAGGAGGAAATGGGTCAGGGATTTCTTTTCTTTTCTTTTTTTTAAATTCTGCTTTACCCTTTCGCATGCACACTTCTCACATATTGTATAATAGTGACTCTCAGCCCAAATTCCTTGTTCCAGCTCACACGGTGACACAACTTTCAGGACATCTTTGTTTTAAAGTAATTGGTCATTAAATTTACACTAAATTCCAACTCAAATTTGATCTCTTATTAAAGTTACAGCAGACAGGCTGGTTCCTGTGCTCAGGTTACAGGCACGTGGACACTTGGCAGGAGTACCAGCCAACCGTCTTGCCACTGTCCTCTGCCCGTAATGGATGTGAATCTGTTTGTGTGTAAACAGCTACATGGGTTGGAGGTGGATTCATCGTGGGCACAGCAGAGGCAGTGTACAACCCCTCCATGGGACTGATCTGGGCCGTGATGCCTATCGCAGCAACCATGTGTTTCATCATTGGTAAGGTTTCGGTTTCCTTTTAAAGTCCTGTAAGACTAACAGGTAGAGATGGGGAGTTCAGGGTCAACGGCTTCATTTTGTACAGCCACAGTAGTGGCCCCATAAGGCTGCAATGCTCATTACATACCACACTAGATGGATAAAAACTGGACTTTGTTATTCTTGGATCGTTATCAGTAGCAGGGCAAAAATGTAAAGCCTGTCCTGAGGGTAGACTGACCCCGTTACAAAAACAACAGCATCTCCTGTTGGTTCATATAATTAAAACAACCTATTTTTATATTTTACTGACAAGTGATGTCTTGTGATCATGTGAATAATGTCTCCTCTCTGCTGCAAAGGCAGGGACGGGGCTCCAGTCAGGACCACTTCAGCTGATTTCAAATTGGGGTCAAGTCAGAGTCCAAAAATATCCTGCAACAAACAGTGGTCACTGAATATTCCTCACACTGTTATCTTCAATGACCCAGTACAGTCCTTTCAATAGAACAACCTAAAATGTGAGGAAACTTTAGCAGAAATGTGGCATTATTTGTTAAAATAAAACATACAATCATATGGCACAATGGTACAATGTTAAAGTATGACATATTTTCACATATCTGTGCATACAACTTGTACACCTAAAATGAGGATGCTTGTTTGTTAAATGGTAACAACATTATATGGAACATAAGCATCACCTGCCGCTGTAAATTTGAATACATTTTGTCTCTATGGGGAACTGACAGAAGCAGAGCAGCCTCTTGAGTTTGCTACAATAGCAACAAGCAACTCTGGGCACGAAAGGCTAAAAAAAGATTATAAAAACGTGACTCAATCAAAGCCAAAGACGGTTTTATGTAAGACTGGAGATAGAGACCTACAAAAGTCTAAGTTTAAAAAAAAAAAAAAAGACCAAGGCAAGTCCATGATAATTAAACAAATATCTTGTTACCAGACCTTTTAAACCTCAACTAAGTAGCTTTAGTTGATTACATTTAACCAGACTTTAAATATATAAGTGGCAGATTTGCAGATCACATAACACTCGTATGAAATGTTTTTGTAATGGTCAAATTAATTGTTTTAGAAGGCAAGGAAAAACAGCCACGTTGGGTTTATTCTCAGCTTGTCAGGCTCAGCCCTGCCTGTCAGGCCTTTGCTTTAACTCAAATACAGCTGAGGCTGATTGAATTTTGGTCATTAGTTTCAGAGACATTCAGAGACATGCACATTTTTACATTTTGGTTCATGAAAACATAGTTTCCTTAATCTGTTTTTATTATTGGACTATTTAGGCATCAGTATCTTTTTATTTATGCTGGGAAGTCTGTAGTACATTATCACTACTTAATGTTTACTGTGTATGGGTTCCTTTCCTCTGGTAACTGCTGAAAGGCCTCCTGGGAAATGTAGGAAATCACTTACTAAAGCAGACGAGGCAGGTTAGGAAAAACTGAAAACAATAAATTATAGCACTTCATCATAAATTAACTTCTGAAATGCACCACAGAGTAGTGAAGTCCGGTGCGCAGTAACAATACAAGAGGATGGATTTTTTCCCTAGGATATGACAACATTCAGGTTTTGTCATATCTTTTGATCAAAGGCAACACAACAGGCTAACACAACTTCCCTTACGTCTGGAGATTAGCAGAGAAAAACAACATTCCTCTTCCACATGAAAGTCACATGAGAAAAGAAAAATTTATCCTCTTAATCCCTGATGAATGTACGCTGAAGTCAGTGTGGTCATACATTTACTGTGATTGCATATTGAAAATGTTTGTCTATTAGCCTATATGTGCAGTGTTTTATTGTGGAGGTGTTTTTTTTAGTAGTTTGTACTTAAGGGAGTAAAACACTCACATTAAGGGGTAAAGAGCAGAGGCTCCATTTGACATAGAAAATCACATACATTCAGAGTGAAATTTCCCATCAAACTCGGTTCATGAGACGAGATTAATCTGCATCTAAACAGTTTCCTGTTAAAAAGGTAAGACTACTAAAGTGGAAATTTAAGGAGAATATTAGGAATATTTAAACACGAAATATAAGTTTTATACTAGCAGCAATTATAGTTAGAAATCTGGTCAATGATACAAATTAATGCTGTTATCTAATTCAAAAGCTGAATGTTGACCACATTATACATTTGCATGACAAATGACTGTCAGCCAATAAATCTAAATCTCCCTGTTTCTCTGTTTGATCTTTAAGGTGGCCTGTTCTTTGCCGAGCCGATGAGAAACAATAAGTATGTGACCATGATGGATCCTTTCCAGATCAAATATGGAAAAGTACCGACGGCCGCTCTGTCTCTGGCCTCACTCGTATCAGAGATTATGTGGGTAACAGGAACACTCATAGGATTAGGTAAGAATGTGTGGGTGTGATGCATTTGATACTCATATGTTGACCCTGGCAGCGGAGCAGCTGTTGATCGCAGCTCTTTGCTGAGGTGTTGAGTGAAACACAAGCCTTTGTCTAATTGTACAGTTGCTCTGAAATAACTCGATCAAAGGAACAAGATCTTAAATCAAGACAGTAATCACAGGTGTATTGTAATAATCAAACATTGAGACAAAGAAAACGCTACTGACTCCTAGATTTGATCTCTTATCACTTTTCAGTTTTATGCAACCAATCAAGTAACATTGAAGTGATTCTTGTCAAAAACAAATGTTTATGTTGTGTAATATCTTCTGATAAACTGTTATTAAATATTTAAAATCATCTAATGTCACATCATTACATTAACATTAATACCTACATTAACATAAATAACAACATGAAATAAAAACTTTCATCTTGACTAGGATTCTGCCAACAGTTAAACACTCTAAACAAGCTCCTGTAACAAGTGGTACATTTACCTTATCAGGTGAATTGATAAAGAAACTATGCCAGACTTGAGGGTGGGACTCTGTGTAATTTATTAATGCAACTGATAAAAAAAGAACATGTTATGTGCAAACCTTCCCTTGGCAAACTATTTATGTAAGGATTAGATATAGCCAAATCCTGTCGCACCCATCCCGTTAAACCCAGTGGAGTTAAAGATTCCTTGGTTGCTGCATTTGTGTCCAACAGTCTGAATAAGAAAGGAGGTTACAAGTGTTTATTCTTGGGTTAAGCTCTTCTGGCTAAATAATCTTCTAAAAAATATCTGAATTATAAAGTTATATTTGACTTTATATTGTCTTAATGTTCAGTATTTTAGGTGACTATTAAAGGTGAGTTAAACAGCTTTGGTGTTTTTAAAGTTACATCACTGTAATGGTCAACATAAGGGTTTTACATGCTCACAAGTATTTGAAATACCTTACCGAGTGTATATAGACAGCGTGGGTAAAACACTAATGTGAGTGTATTTAACAGGTGTAACTATGAGTGTGATCCTGAATTTGTCCTACACTGTGAGCATCTGGATTTCTGCGGCTGTGGCCATTACCTACACCCTGATGGGAGGTCTCTACTCTGTGGCCTACACAGACATCATACAGCTCATCCTTATCTTCATCAGCTTGGTGAGTTATTGCTTCTCCTGGATCGTAATATATTCCCTGGCATTCCTAGAGGTCATGGATAACAAGAGGAGTAAAGGAAAAGTTTAGCATTTCAAGGACAGATACTTATTGGCTCCCTTTTTGAGGATTAAATGAGAATATTGATACCGCTCTCATGTCTGTGTGTTAACCCCAGAACAGCCGGCAGGTGTTTAGCTTAGTATAAGGACTGGAAGCAAAAGGAAATAGCTACTTAGTAATTAATATGTTGCGTCCATAGACTGTATGAAACTAATAGACATAGCCACGGTGACATAACAACATAACCCATTGGTTTGTGGACTCCCTTAAGTTTGGCCCTTTGGCTGTCACCATCTTTAATTTTTGGAACCAGAAGTGACCATTTTGGGACAAAAGGGTGGAGTGTGGAGGAGCGAGGGGTGGATCTGCTTCACAGACTGTGGTATTGCCTCGCAGAGAGCCTGTCTGTCAAACTGGCCACTCCCTTTATTATGGCTAACTTCAGGCCTTGATAACACTTAAAAGAGTGAGTTGAATAAAAACTCACCCCCAAGTACAGTTGTCATAAACAGGGAAATTAGCTATATAAACATGTTTATACCTGCTTGGTTGTTGGGCATTTTAACATGGGGACAGTGAGAACTGGCTTGCTTTTTGAGTTGACCTCTAGTGGCCATTTGAGGTAGTGCAGTCTTTGGCACTTCCTGTTTGCTTTATTATTTCAGCCCCGGAGGTTATTGCTTAGTTGTGTCTTGTTTCATAAATGTCCAGTGTGTAGTATTTAGGGTAATTTATTGGCAGAAATAGAATATTATATAATAAGTAGGTTTTCTTTTGTGTATAATCACCTGAAAATAATGAATGATGAATGGTAGATGGTTGTGTGTTCATTACCTTAGAATAAGCCTTTTATGTCTACATAGGGAGCAGGTCTTTGTTTGTGACAGTCATTACGTTCACCACCTTATTTCTACAGTAGCCAAGAATGGAATAAACAAACACTGGCTCCAGAGAGGGCCAATCAGTATTCGCATTTTTTTAATTTAATTTTTTTAAATTTAATTTTATATACTTGCGAGGAGCAGCATCAGAAAACCACTGATTTGTAATGTGAAATTGCTTATTTCAGTGTTTTTACCAGTTTAAATCACCTGATCAGTTTGTTTTGGAGAGGAAGAGACCTCTGGGGATAATCTGACTTACAGGAAAAACCTCCTAAACATCTGAATCAGAAATAAGGTGAGCACATAAGTGAGCAGTGAAACTGGTGAGCACAGTAGCAGGTGCTAGGCTAGACGTGCCAAATAGCAAAGGAAAACAGCTGATTTGTAATTTGAAACTGCTTTCATCAGTGTTTGTAATGGCTTAAATCACCTGGTCAGTTTGTTTTGGAGAGGAGGAGACCTCTACGGATAATTTGGCTTCTGGTAAAAACCTCCTGAACAATGAACACTAAAGGAATTCTTACAGGGAGAAGATTCAGCTGGTTGCAATCTTCAGTCCTCGAAGCCAGATACCACTAAATCCCCCCAAATCTTACATACTTGACCTTTAAAACAGAAAAGTAAAAACATCAATCTGCGGCTACACGTAGAGTGACATACTATGTTGAACTTTCTTTACGAACAACAGAATTTACCCGCTCAGTACATGTGTCGCTGCTGGTTGCCTGGCATCCTCATGGGGCAGCTGTTGCTCCTACATAGTTTCAACTTTTTGTTAAACCACAATCTGTCTTTTCTATATTTCTATTTGTATACAGATTAAACAAGACACGTGTTAATTTGTGAGGTTTTGAGGTGTTGGTAGGTGAATTTATGAACTTTGGAAAGAGCCACATTCAGTGTTTCCATCTGCTTACACTCTTCATGCTAAGCTAGGCTAATTCCCCCATACTAAAAGCTAGAGTATGTCACTTTTAAAAATACAAATAACACAGTTCTTTATTTAACAAATGAAAAGTGGAATTAACACACACAATAAAAAAACACCCTTCCTTACTTCTATACACTTGGGCTCTGCAGCAGCTTTACTTGTCCTGGTATGACCAGTAGTTTCTGATGGCTAATGTTTGCCTTTGGGTAAATATTTTTCTATTAGCTGAATTACTGACTCAGTTCACTGACTTTGTGACTCATCTGCACTTATTTAAGCATTTAGCAATATTCATAATTTTCACTTGTTGTGGCCACTGTCAAGCAAATGTTGCTTAGTCTCACTTAAATGCACAGATATCAGAGTGGTACTGACCTCCTCATCTAACTCTAAGATTTACATAAGCAGCTTTAGCACATTTGATGCTATTAAATTTGAATGAAGGTTTCATTCATTATAAACAATCTTATTTTGGACTAAAACTCTTAATTGTTCAGCCATTGTGTGACCTGATGATGGAATCTTTATGTGTCTGGGAAAAGTCTTAGATGGCGCAACCATGGCTCAGTGGTTAGGACTCTCCAGTCCAAACACATGCCAGTCAGGTGAACTGGAAACTAAGGTGTGAATGTGTCTGTCAGTCTGTATGCGTGAATGCTGAAAAAGACTGACAAACTGTACAGGTACCCCACCTCTGCATAATGTATGCTTGGATAGCTTCCAATCTGTGCCCTTAAACAGTTTTTTTTAGTTTATCTTCATTGAACAAACCTGCCAGCTAACATTCTTCCTTTGTCGATGGGCAGAAGGGCTGGTTGTAAGCGTACTTAAGTTTGCTGAGGGTCTTTGTTTTTTTGTAGTGGCTGTGCGTCCCCTTCGCTCTGATGGGCCCTGCTGTGTTGGACATCACTGAGACGGCCTACAACTACACCTTCCAGTCTCCATGGGTTGGTTCTCTGGAGGCAGACAGAGCCTGGAGATGGATTGATAACTTTCTACTTCTGGTAAGACTGGAGATTTTCTCATGGAAGATTCAATAGATGTCAAAGGTGAAGTTTGTTTAAGACTGCGGATAAGGATGTCCTTTCCTTCATTGTTTGATTGAATCATGGGCAGCATATCAAGTTTCAGATTGGATTGGTGAGGATCCAAGTGTACTTTTTGCAGATTATATCTTTCAGTAGACCGCGATCTTTCTTGTGCAATCAAGTGGAGTGCACTGCAGGTGTTATACAAACATTCTCCTTAAGTTTCATGTTTTACATAGAAGCTGTAGAAATGCAAATTCCTGCATTTGAAGTAGTTGGTTCTTTCACAGCTATCCTCAGTTTTCTTTAACTAATCTAACTTGCATCTTAGGTCAGCTGTTAATCATTAAACTCTGTACAGAGATCTAGCTAAATATGTTAATAAGCTTGAGTATAGGAAACTAAAGGACTTTATCTTCCAGCAGTCCTGAGAGCTCTTCAAGTGGTGAAGTTCTGACCGAGCTGCTCCAGCGCCAGTTTGTGCCTCTTGTGTTTTATTATATTTAGGTCAAAGAGCTAATCATTTGTTTTGCCGAAATATTTTTCTAAAACCTAAGTCTTATTTTCCACAGTTTTGAGAGGATTTCCAGAATCCTCAAACACTCTTCTGTTCATTCGGATCAAAAAATACTTTGCCTGCTGTTTCCCAGTTGTGACTAGTTTTTCTAATCAAAACAGAGATGGTAGTCAGAGGGGACATATCCTTTCTCCTGTTTTATTTGTGTAATATAAGAAAAATATAAAACTAATTTAAGAAAAATACTAAAACTAAATCAAATTATTACCTCTCCTCCTTCATTTTCCTCCCTCTTCTTGTGTTTGTCCTATGTCTCTCCCAAGGGTTTGGGGAACTTGGGTCTTCAGAACTTCCACCAGAGGACACTGTCAGCTGCCTCCTCGGCAACAGCCAAGATCACCTGCTTCGCTGCTGCTTTCATTGTTCCCACATTAGGCATCCCTCCCATTCTCCTTGGTGCAGTGGCTGCATCAACAGGTAGAGAGAATAAAACAAAACTTTTTAAACTTTTCTTAGACTGTTTTAATGTGACACTTCACACTGGCTAAAAAAAATCCAACACTTGGGATGTATAACACGTATAACACAAATATGTAGTGTTACCTCCCTTTGATCAACTTGGCTTAGTTATTTTTTACAATTAGTCTGCAGAGCTGTCAAAGTATGAAAAGTATTAAAAATAACTGATTTAAAGTGAAACACATTAAACCTTGTGCAGTGCATGAGGGAACATCTTAGAATCACTATACTGAATAAAATCTTTAGCCTAAACATAATTTTAACACAATTAGATTTAGAAAAATAGAGAAAGTATTCAGCGTCTCAGATGCACTTGTCAATGTCACTGAGGCTTATGATGGTATTATACAGGCAGGTCAGTCTAGGACCTGAACTCTTTTAGACACACTGTTGTAACACGTGCAGAATGTGGCTTGGCATTGTTGTGCCAGAATAAAAACCTCTATGTACCTTTCCACATTCATGGTGACTTCTCAGATGTGCAAGTTACACATGATGCCATGGGCACTAATACACCCCCATACCATCACAGATGCTGGCTTTTGAACTTTGCGCTGTAACAATCTGGATGGTCCTTTTCTTCTTAGCCCGGAGGACACAGCATCCATAATTTCCAAAAACAATGTAAAATATGGACCACAGCACACTTTTCCACTTTGGATCAGTCCATCTCAGATGAGCTCTGGCCCAGAGAAGTCAGCAGTATTTCTGGATGTTGTTGATATATTGCTTTCACTTTGCATGGTATTGCATGGTAGAGCTTTAACCTGTATTTGTAGATGCAGTGATGAACTGTGTTTACTGCGTTTTTCCAAAGTGTTCAGATCACAGTCTATTGAAAGATACAATCTGTTGTATCCTCAACAGTTCAGCCTGAAACTTAATATGCTATCTGTTGAATCTTTCATGAGAAAATCTCCAGTCTTACCAGAAGTAGAACATTATTAATCCATCTCCACTCTCTGTCTGCCTCCAGAGGCCTGATGTAGTATTCTTTATACAATGAAATCAGACTTGTACCTTATGTGCGGATTTCTCTAGATTCTCTGATGATATTATGGATTGTAGATGGCAAAATCCCTAATTTCCTTGCAGTTGTGCATTGAGAAAGGTTGCTTTTGCGGTTTGCCCTTGCAGTTTTTCACAAAGTGACCATCCGTGCTTGTGAACAACTGAGCCTTTCAAGAGCACCTCTTTCATACCTCTAAATGATACTATCATTTTTTACCAATTAACCTTGTTAACCTGTAGCATGGTTCAGATGTTTTTGAGCATTCAACAGCTTTCCCAGTCTTTTGTTGACCTGTCCCAACTTTTTTTAAACATGTTGCAGGCATCATATTCAGAGTAAGTGTATGTTTTACAAAAAACAAAGTTTATCAGTTTGACATACAAATATCTTGTCTTTGTACTGTATCTAATTGAATATAGGTGAAAAAGATATGCAAATAATTGCATTGTTTTTATTTAGGTTTTACTCAGCATGCCAACCTTTTCGAAATTGGGGTTGTGCTTTTTAATCACTATCTTCTCACTTACCTGTTTGTCAAACTGTCTTCATTTTCCTTAGACTGGAACATGACCTCTTATGGTTCTCCGTCTCCATTTGCACGTAATGAGACCGGACTCGTCCTGCCTATCGTACTGCAGCACCTTACCCCAACCTACATCTCCATTATCGGTATTGGGGCAGTGGCCGCTGCTGTGATGTCATCCACTGATTCTGCTTTGCTGTCTGCAGCCTCCATCTTCACCGCCAACATCTATAGGAACATTCTGAGGCCACTGGTGAGGAAGATGAGGAAAGTGAGGGGAGGTGATGGGCTCCTCCACAATAAGAGACAAAAAGTGTTACTCATCCATTTACACATCCCTAAACACGTTAGAGGCATTCATTTGATGGAATGTAGATTTTTAAAAGTATTGATTTAACAATGTGTCCCTGACCTACCTACCTCTTTTTTCACAAAAATGGGCCATCAGAAAAAAAAGAAAAGCACAGATCCTGACTGTTGTTTGTTTTCTTTCCTCCAGGCGTCAGAGCGGGAGATCCAGTGGGTGATTCGGATCTCAGTGGTGGTGGTGGGTCTGGCCGGTACCTCTCTCACCTTCCTGGACAATAGTGTCCTGATGATCTGGATGCTTCGATCTGACCTCACCTACACCCTCATGCTGCCGCAGCTTGTCTGTGTCCTCTTCTTTAGTATCTCCAACAGTTATGGGGCTGTGCTGGGCTGCGTGACAGGCATGCTGTTGCGGGTGTTATGTGGGGAGCCTCTGCTTGGGATACCACCTGTTATCAAATTCCCAGGATGCACTCTGGTAAAAGGCGTTTATGTCCAGCGCTCTCCAATCAGGACCATCTGCATGCTCTCTTCTGTGGCGGCCATCTTGTTGTTCTCCTACCTGGTGTCTCTGCTCTTCAACAGAGGCCTGCTTCCTGAGAAATGGGATGTTTTTAATGTAAAGACTCAGTACACTATACAAACACAAGATGGCGACAAATCAGACACTAAGAATGAGAATTTAAAAGAACCACATGAGAACAATGAAGTGTGTGAACCTATGTTAGAATCAACATGTTAAGTCAAACCCTCATTTAAAATACATTTTTATACATTTTACATCAGTATGGACTGGTTTAAGAACAAATGTATGTAATGTGTAATGACATAATTTTAACAGTACAATATATTTTGAATTTTTATATACTTTTATATACAGCATAAATTTAAAAAAAAAAAAAAAACATCACACCTATGCTCTTTGTTATGATAAGAGCATTTCATTGATGGATTTTAAGACAATAGACCCCTGGGCACAAAATATAAAACACCCCCCCACACACACCCTGACCAGGAATGCAATCGTTATAGTTGTTTCACGTCTTTTTGAGCAACATTTTGCACATTAACTATTAGTACTGTTGTTGACTGAACTTTAGTTTCTTGTTCATGGAGCTGAAGGAGGACTGTTTAAGCCCTTCTCAAAGCTCCCATGTATTATACACAATGCTATAGGTGCACACAATTCTATAAAAAACCATTAAAGGAAACCTGTGATGAAGGTCATATCTTCTTAAAGCAGAGCTGTGCAGAGTCAAATATATTACAGACTTTGATGTGGGCTTACTGTACCGTTGGTATGCATGATGCAGCTCTATTGTGTTGGAAAAAAACGATAAAAAATACAACAAAATATCAGATCAGACTTGGTATTAGCAGGTACTCAGTAGTGAAAGACTCAGATTGAGATCAGGAGCAAAAAAAACATGAATAAGACATCCCTGTATTTGACTGAGCTCTTTGAATTTCCAAAGACAAATATTAATAAAAGTCACTTAATATAGAGGCTCACTGAACCCTTTGGGCCCCTGGGATTGTGCCTGTTCGGCTCATGAGATAACCCACCCATGCTTTAAAAGGTAATTTTATATTTGATCGTACAGTATTTGTCTTTTGGTATAGTTTCTGAATTTATAGCAGGGTTTAGCATTTAAAAACAATGTCTGTCAACAGTAAAGTATTGTTGATGTTGAAACCAAGGCATGACCAGTGGTTAGTACTGCTGACATGCAGCACCACTGCTGAGTGAGTGTGTAGAATATCCAGCAGAGCTGCCTTATTAACCTGGTGAGGCCAATGGATTTAATTATGCTGTACTCAGGGCTGAGCAAAACAGATTATATGGAGGCAAAGGGGCTTCAGTGACCTGAAATTATTTAATATAATCATTTAATTTAAAACACCCCTGGATTTGTCCTGCCCATTCTATTCTTCACACATGTACACTACTGTATTATTTTCCTGAAATATTATTAGAGGTTTCTTGTCAGGCTGTGGTAAATGGAGTCTTGCACTTGAAATATCCACAATGTGACATGTCTTTTTACATCAGTTTTCATGTTTTAAACACTATATAGCAGAAAGATCACTTTAAAAAAATCTCATTATAAATTCACAGTGTAAAGCATCATAAAGCAAATGTCTTAAATATTAAAGGGAAGTTCTGGTTTTAATTAACAGGTAGAAAAGAAGGAGTGTGTTGATTTAAAATCAACGCACATTGTGTCAAACACTGACATGTAAAGGCTTTTGCTCCTCTCTCTGGTCAAAGTAATTCTTGCTCTGCCTCTCCCTAATCTCTACAGTGGAGATACTGAGTAAAATATATGGATACAAATATGAAAATAAGACCTACAGTTAACAAATAGTGGAAATTCCCTTTCAACATATTCAGTGTGCTGACACTTTACACAAAAAAGTACCCAGTCTTCACTATTGACTGCTAGCATAAGTATGCACTTAACAGTTTAATATTGAAGTCTTAAGTAATTAAATAACTGATGCATATGTGTTTGAAAATATCCAAATCTGTATGGATATATAGCCAATCATGGATATAATAAGTTTCGGAATCAAAGCCTTCACTTGTTGAACTCCACATGACTTAATCTGGGTCCACGTGTGTCCATATGTGTCCTACGATACATGTGGATGACACACAAAAATAACCACCCTCTGCTTGATAATTCAATATGGGGCTGTGTGGCATGCCGGGGCTTTGAAAGATGCCCGGACTGTCTGCCCTTCCTCCTCCCTGATGTCCGTGTCAATCTAAGTCAAGTTACAGTATATCAGTGTGGTATTATATATGAGATATGACATCTCGCTCTTGACTTGTGTGCCAGAAGCTCTAGTGGAACAATCGTCCCACAGGACAGACTAACACAGACTGAGATAAAGGTCCTCTATAATAAGACCACACAGGCAAGTGTTGCTGTCAAATGGACTTTGATCTTGCTGCTTCCTGTGTCCTTTGATGGTTAAGTTGGTGATGAGGATGGGAATGAGAAAGCTGAGTATGCAGTACCAGCATGGTGAATGTAGAGAGCAGATTACTATTGCGTTAATCAATTTGCTTATACAGTATTTGTGTTGTCTGGAATTGAGTTGAGGGCTTTAGTGTTTCACGATGGTTTAAATGTTTCACGAGATTTTATACCTCAGCAAGAAGCTCTGTACATGTTTTGGCACAACTATAATCAAAAAGAAACAGAAATGTGTCAGCATCAGATGGATGTAAAGAATTATGAGTACTTTCCTATTAAAACTTTGAGTTGATGTAGAAAAAAAAGGCAATAGTTTAGGTGTTACGTCCATGAAAATGTCTGTATTTCAAAAAGCGAAGAAAAGGCGATATTACAAATACTAAATGCACAAATTCTGACTACAACGGGGTCTGGATTAGCTGCACCGAATATTTTGTGAATGTGTGATAATATACAAGATTTTCTTTTCAAACAGATGAACAATCTGTAAAAGCTTCTCTCATTCTGGAGGTCTGCTCTTGTGTTTGTTCTCTGAAGGTGAGCTGAATAAAGATAAGTGTGCAGAATTTCATTTTGAGCAATAAAAAATGGTTGTAAAAAGGGATGAACTATCAAAATAAGTTTTGAAGAGAGATACTAATTTGCTTTTGCTTTCAGTAAAAGCACATGGACATCACTAAAGCCGAGTTATTGTTTTTGTTCTGGACCAGACTGAACTAACACCGTAATGTAATTTGCTTGATGTCTTCTGCCATATTTCACTTTTTTTGTGTAGAATTCTTGAAACAAGTCACAACTCACAGATAACACGTGGTGGGTGGTGATGAAGTGAAACAACCAGGATAGATGTAGCATCACCTGCTGTTCATACAACAGTGCATCAAACCTGGTCAAGAGCAACAGACATTTAGCTAACACATTTATCCAGGCTAACTTACCTTAATAATAATAATATCATCAACATTACAACAGAGCCATAATAATGAATTTAAAAAGTTAAATCCACAGTACAGAATAACAGTATGATGTACATGACTCACTTAGTAGTTTTACAAAACACTGCAAATTTAGTGGCACAGCCATGTTAAGAAATTCAGATTTCCTACCTGTAGGGTTTCACGGTCTTGCTTGTGGGAACTTCACTTTGAGTTTGCAAAATTTTGCTGCTCCATCCTCTAAAATGGGACTGTGCATGTTCAGTGAACTAACTAGTAGTTTCACCTTTATGCTTCTGCTTGAAACAAGATATTCAACCTCAGAGGACCCCCCCCTTCTTAGTTTTCTTACTTTAAGTCTGATCAGCAGACCATTAAAGAGTTGCACATTGTTTCTCACAATATAATGCAAACTGTGTATCTGATGACTTTACAAAGCTATGAAAAGTTACCAATGACCGAAATTAGCAATTTTCTGTTGATTTACAAATTACAGACATAATAATTGACAAGTTGAGGAAATCTGAACATGGGGACACCTGTTCAGAGGAAAAATGTAGACACAACAATTACTTGCTATTTCAGTGACAGTTATGAAACATCCCAGACTGCATGTACACATTATTACATCAGTGCATCATTTATTTTCCACATTCAAACTTTTAAAATACAATCACAGTTTGAGATGAATTTAAAGGTATACTATGCAGGAACTGTTGGTTACCATTTTTAAACACTGCTGCCAGCAAAAGGAAAAAGCCAACTGCAGATTTTGGAACGAGCTTTGTCTACCTGACATTTCGTCTCGCTATATACATTTTTTGGCACTGTGTCCATTGTTTTCCGAGCTTCCCTTTGGATGCTTGCTGCCGACAGTCTGGCACATGCTCACTACCTTTATATAAAGTTCTGATGTCACTTCTGCTGCATAAGAACATCCTGAACACAGCAAATTAAGATGAAACTACAGGCAAGGGCAAAGTCCCTGCAGATAAATACACCGCTGTACATTTTTAGTGGATGAAAAGTGATGATTTAGAGGGATTACTTTTGTATGAGTCTATACATTGTTTTTTTTAAAGGAGAATCCTGCATGGTATATCTTTAAAGGCTGATTCAACACTAGGACACAGAAAACACCTGCTGCTCTGTCCTGAGCTAAAACTTTCAAGTGTGTTACACATTAGGCCACACTCCGAACAACATCATAGCAGGTGTTTGACTTCGACAGATGACAGAAAACTGAGCATTCTGGTGGTCAACAGATTGATTTAAGGTGGGGATGTATATGTTGCTTGTCGTCCCCTTCTGTGTGTTAAAGTACTTACTTACACTATTTAGTGGTTGATTGGTGTACACAACAAACTTATCCTTTATTCTGAGAGACAAAGGAATTACTGTAATCACAACATGTCATGCATCACAGGGTTTAGAGGGAGTAAGAGTTTAACTGGTACATTTGCTAAGTCAATGTTGGGGTGGAACAACATTTAGAAAACATGAAACATTTTTTGTTGTTTCAGGATCAGAACACACTCTACAAACAGCTTATTCTTCAGTCAAAAAGTCCATATGTGGCAGTCTGGAATATGAGATCTAATGAAGTAGTTGTCAGACAAAAGGAAAAAAAAAACACCCATGAAAAAAATGAAATTTAAATTCCTTCCATCATTTGTGCAGCTTTTCTGTTGAAAAGCTGGATGTAAAGTCTTTGTAGGACCCTAATACTGTCCTCATCTCCTCACCTTTACATAAAAAAGGGGAGGAATTCTGGTGCTGGAGGTCATGAGGGGCCTGAAGGTGTTTCTGCTCCAGTTTTTTTTGTGGGGTCTAGAATGGTCCCTTCATACACAACCTTGTTCTTGATGCCATCCTGGATCATCCTCTGCTGCACACGAAGCTTAGCGTTGTTCATCCTGCAGTAAAACCTGAACAGGAGACAGTGTTTAGGTTACAAGCAGGAGTAACTAAAGAGGAAACTTCAGTAAGAAGTGAGATCATGCTGGGACAAGAATTCTGAAAATATTGGCAGCTGGGTGTTTGTAAAGATTGCATGTTTTTCTTTGATGGTAGATATGTCAAAGATGTTTTTAAAATGATAAAGTAAAAGACAAGACAAGGATGAAGTTTCAGTCAGAATAAAAACCTACCAGGACCCCAGTGTGGTGAGCATGAAGCCTGCAAATCCCACGTCAAAAGACCTCCTCACACGACCTGCAGAACACAGGAAAGACCACTGCTGTGAGTTTAATGGGTAAACTAATACTCAAAGTTCAAACTAACTTTTCCCTCACCATGTGAAACAACTTCTTTTTTTTTTTTTTTTAAGATTTTTTGGGCATTTTTGCCTATAATGAACAGGACAGCCAAGTGTGAAAGGGGAGAGAGAGAGAGAGCAGGAATGACATGCAGCCAAGGGCCACAGGCTGGACTCGAACCTGGACTGCTGCTGCAACAGCCTTTTACATGGGGCACCTGCTCTATCCACTAAGCCACCGACGTCCCGTCATTGTCAGAAAAAGAGATAGTGGAAATTTTTATGTGGTTTTTGGTCCAAAATAATTCTGATGCATATATCTGTACTTTTCTCTAAAGGGATTAAGCAGCTGATTTGTTGAAGACATCAGAGCTAAAAGGTTTGGATATACAAAGAGTTTGTGCAAAGGTTTTCTTTTATGCTAATTTATACAATAATCCTGCTAGGTTAACTAAAGTAAATAATATCTAAATAAACACAAAACACATAACGTACCTTGTTTCTTCAGGCTTAAAGTGAGTCACTGAAATATTTTATCATCTTTTCATAGGATGTGCAGTTCAAGTCGTGCATTTAGGTTGTAGGGAGTTTGAAAGGCAAATTTCAATATCAACTTCCCCTTAGTTAATAACACAAGGTACAGTCCCTCCCACATTATTGATATGACATACTCCAGTGGCATTACACCTGTACACTCATGGAGATGTTACAGTGATCAACTATCTAATTAATTCTCAAAATCCTGTTTTGGCTGGATGGATTGTTGATCGATTTGAATTAATAATCATGGAAAAGTTCAGTGGAAAGTTAAACAATTACTAAATTCAGATTCAGATTAATCCAAATTTGTTTGGTCCAATGCTCCAGACATAAAGGCACTATGAGCACACACATACACACAAAGCTTCAGACTTAAATAACACTCACTAGTGGCCAGAAAATGTAGCAGGCCAGCAGCTAGTGAGCCTCCAGCTCCATGCAGGACGGCATCTCTGGCGCATGGAGTGTTCTGGACATCCAGAATCCCCAGCAGCCTGAAACCCTAAGGGATAGACAGAAAGACAGGAAGGCCAAAGAGACAGAAGAAGATTTTGTCACATGTCAACAATGTGTAACTGGTCCAGGGGCCAACTGTGACCTGCAAACCAATTTTAAATGGCCCTCAGCTTGTCTTTTAAAACACTATATGGTTACCAAAATATTGGTTGACCAAGCAAGGTCACTTTTTTCTGTCTTCATGTGACTTGCATCATGATAGTTAAGGACTGAAAACATTTGTCGCTGTTTTTATTCACTCTTTATCATTTTTTTGCATTCAGAGCACCTTTTTTCTGCACAGATGTCTTACATAAATAGGCTATTTTTGCATTGATCTCAGCCTGTGGACTTTTTAAATTGGTGTGCCGGTATCTCCTCAACCGTCCATTCTTGTCTGCCTAATGTACCGATGCACCGAAGACATCTTTTTTGTTACCCCAGGTAGGCGCAATTTCACAGCACCCATAAGACTATACAAGCAAACGAAAAATTAATTAATACCAGATATTTCCTGCTAGAAAGCAGACATGGCCACAGCAAAGCCAAAGGCGAGGGCCACCACTTTCAGGAGAGGTGGAGAGTTGAATACTTTTTCCACTTAAAGATAAAAAAGTTGCATTTGTATCATTAGTCATGAATTCATACTTAAGTAATGGTAATTTAATGTGCAAGTGTTACAAAGAGTCGTATCATATGCATCCTGTTATTTTATATATGTTTTCAAATGACCTCTTTTTTATTTAATGTTTTCATAAGTATAGTGCATTTTGTCTATCCTGAAGGCCCCATGTAACACTGTGTGTGTTAGAATGTATACAGAGTGTATGTTGCCCAGAGAGCAGCCAAAGCAATGTTTTTTTTTACTGAATGGAGTGTCAATGTACATAACAATAAGAAATCCTCGATTTACTAAATTGTGACACTTAATGTAGCCGATGATTATGACTTAAAATGTTTATCCACTCAGTATAACCCGTAACCTGTATACAGTCTATGGGTCCAACTACATCATGCAAAGCTCCTTTCAACAAAGCGTAGACGTTTGCATCTGGATGCAAGTAGCGAATATGTTAATCTATGGAGGGAAATCAATGTTTCCTTGAAAGTCACTGCTATGTGGTGACTATTCTGCAAGCCGAATTTCTCTGCTCGAGTGCTTTTGAAGGTTTGTCAATACAAACGTAACGTCAGGTTAGTTGAGTATCCAGGTCCCTAGGTAACCTTTAAATTATGAAATATCCGAATGGAATTTGGTTTGTCAAAACCCCCCCACTTCTGCTGCCTAGCTAGCTAACTAGCTAGCACTATTACTAGCTAGCTCTTCGTTGGCCTAATGTAATAGCTCGGCTTGGCTAACACACTTGATATAACGTCATGTTGACTCAAGATAACCTAAAGTTAAACTCGATTTAAGTTAACATCAACGTTAATTGTGCGCTTGTTATCTCCCAATGTTGATACACAATTCAGACACAAATTTGTGAAATACCGATATATAAGTCTATTCTCTGTGTTAGCATGTATGTAGCTTTGGATTTCAGATTAGCTGAAAGTCTCACTAAGGCAAAAACAACACTACATTTCCATGAGTAACTCTGAAAACTTAATGAATTAGGTTTGAATCAGTTTTTAACCGCTGCTGTTGACCTTCTAAACACTTGAAGCTAGTTGCCTCTTCCATTTAAAATGCTTCCTTTAAACACAGTTACATGAAGCACTTACCTTGTTCTTGCTCTCATGCTCTTCTTCTGCCATTGTACCACGTTTATTTTTCTCCTATTGCAAAGTTTACACTGAATTTACCTCGAAAACTGTCGTGTAACAATCGTTTTCGTAACCATATTGGCTGTGGCGCATGCGCTGTACCTACCAAATGAGTCCGTCGGTTATTAATCGCCGACTCGAAAAGAGCAAACGGCTGATGTATAGTTCCGGTGTACATGCTAAATTCCATAAACATACTTTAAGGGTATTACAGCATTGTTTAAAAATATCATCTTAAAAAAACAGCAACAACGACAAAAAATGATTAAAAGATAAAGAATTATGTGTGTGTATAATGTCTATACCCCTCCCCCATCTTTTCCCTATTTGGGTTTTAGTGTTTATTTCTTGTTCTTTTTGCAGATAATTCTGTGTTATTTATTTTTACATTGTTTGTTTCAGGAATTTCTTGTTTGTGTTGAATTTAAAGGTTACTGCTGATTTAGACTATTTAGAGATGCAATTACACATTGTTGACATGTTGCACCAAAAAAATAAAATAAAAATAATAATAATAATAATTGCATAGGCTATATATATATTTATATATGTCTTCCAAATGAGCAACTAACAATCTTGCCATATAAGTGTTTACCCATTAATATTCTATATTTAAAGAAATGTAAACACCTGGCATGAAAATAAACAGTATAATTTGACAATTTAGTTCATATTTTGAATACAAGGGGTAATTAGGCTAAAGTATGTGTTGCTTTTCTCCTGCAACCCAAATTTCCTCACTTGGATCCACTAAGTTTTATAATGTAATTCAGACAATAAGGAAAAGAAGCAGTTAATGAAACTGATATCCCATGGTAGAATTTTGAACGTCAGCTCATTTGTCCCAAACAGGAAAGAGGAATCATACAGTGTTTACTTAACCCATTAAAAATATGAAATGAACCAGGTCAGAGGGAAGTCAGCATGTCACAGTGCTCCCACACCGATAAAAAAGGATTATTTCACCGGCAGCAGCAGATTACTACCTGACAGTCCTCATCCTGCACTATGGTCAAAATGGAATTCCTGACTTTACATAAATATTTCAACAACAGGCTCTTCTGACAAACAATAATAGCCTTTAGCAGTCTATGGGATATACAGTAGCCTATATTCAAACAGGAGATTTAATACTTAAATACAATATTGTTGTTTGTTCCATTGTCCAGTGATGAGAAACATAGAGCATAACAACATAAAGGAGCTGTTTTATTTTTTTAAACTGTTGATTGCCTGCACAATTTGGCACAAATTCTGGAGCTGCCAGCATCAGGTAGATACTGACCATAATCAAATTTCAGTTAATGCATGAAAACATAAAGTCCAACTTCACATATAAGGAGTTGAACACTGGGTTAAAACTGGGAATCTAAACCATTAGACCATGTGGGAGATAATACTCCATTTAATGTGTGTCAGCATCAGATTCATTATTTTTATGGACAGTGCAAGCATTTATAGCCTATTGAATTATAGATGTAATAATGCTGACATTCTGCTTCCCCCCCTTTCTATGTAGGCTAAATCTTAAAACAATACTTAGCATAAGCAGTTCAGTGTCTTGTCCTTTGGCCCAAAAAACACAATGAATATGTCTCTTTAGACAAAGAGGGATGAAGTGCCACACTGCTGGACACAGGATGTTCTACACACATAGTGAGGTCTGTGAAAGGCGCCCTCGGGTGGCCATGTTCAAGGACAGCAGCTCACTACAGCAGCTTCAGAGGGTATGGCAGGGCAGGTCATAATTCCCCTGTTACAAAAAAACTAGAAACAAAAAAATGGAAGAAAACTTTACATACATAGATGATTTTTCATACAAATAAAGGCATTAGACATGATTCATATGGATGAGAAATAAACATAGTCAAAGATCTGGATACAAAAGGTAGAAACTACAACACAATATTATTTATCAGCATTATATGTTCTGTAAAAATGAATATTTAATAGTAGCCTACTAACTATTTAAACCATGACCTTTTATTGCATTACAATGATTTTATTCATTAAACCCTTGTTGGTTGTGATTCCAGTTTTAAACTTTAGAGTTCAGCATCAGGTCATAAACCCTCCTTCACAAATTACTACTGTCACAGTGGCCTTGAGCAAGGCACTGAACCTGCTCCTTCTAATGCAAGTCTAAATAATCCCAGCAGCTTTTATGAGTCTTGTAAACAGGATGTAATGATACGGACAGAGACTAATCCTGTGGTTAAATAAAGATTAAAACTGCATTATGTACCCCCTGTTTTAACAAAAACATGTAACCATGGTTGAAATCCAATATGAGTGAGTATATCCTGGATCTCTGACTCCTCTGTGCTGTATAAAGGACAGGACACCCAGCCCTGAGCACACTGCCTGCAGACACTAGAGAGTGAGTCAGGCTGCTTTACACCAACAACCACAAAGCGATGTATTCGATTTATCTGAAAGCTTTTTTTATCCATTTGAATTTTTAATGAGGCTTAAGTGATTTGAATGATTTAAGTAAATAACATTAACTGTAAAATACAGTGTTATGGAAAGTATTGAACAGCTGAAGTTGGGAAATATCAATAATAGAACAGCAGGTGTCATTGTACAGTAGATATACTAATGACTTTATTATCAATGCTTAATATATTATAGCTTGATGCTTTATGGATGGGTTCCTAGGTTATGTGTTTTTACTCTTTACAAGCACCCATGAAGTCTAAGTCTAAGTCTGTTACTGTCATTAATTAACTAACTCGCTGTGTCTTCTGCAGGATGATGGCTGTACAGGTCGGCAGAGTGATGTTTCCTTTGATGTTGAGTTTGTTTCTGGGAGCCTCATCTTCCATTTGGTCTCTGGCTCCTGCAGGTAAATAAAATAGTCACAAGACACTTAATTATATTGATCTGAGTTTTTGTTTTCAGAGAACGGGAACCTTTTTGCAATCCCAAGCCTTTTATTGTTTTAAATTAGATTAAATCATTATTATCATTATTATCATTATTTTTGTTTTTTTTATTTATTTATTTTACTGGAAAGGCAGGTTTTCATATCTTTGACTTTTATTACCATCTTTTGGTGACCAGCGGAACTCTTTACACAGACGGCACTATACACATAAACTATAATGGCACATTTTCCTGGACAAACGCAAAGCCAAGTAAAATAAATAAACCTACAACAGCTTACGTAAAATGGTACATCTCAATCCTCATTTTATTATTTGATTTAATTTAATTTATTATTTATTATCATTATTTATCGTGTCAGTTTGATTTTAGGTGCTTCATGCTTGGTGCTTATTTCCATCCCTCTGGCACTGTCTCCATCTAGTACTGTGCAGCACTATATAATATGTGAGGAACACTGGCTTTGAAAGTCAAATTCACTTGTACACTTTGGTGATTTAAAGCAGACGTAGCAAAGTGGAGAGGTTTGACTTTCTGTTCCTTGAAGCCTTAAGATCCACCTTAATGTTTGTGGTTAAGCATCGAATAGAGGCATGTAGCAAGTAGTAAGTGAAGTGAATATGAATGTTCAAGCAGAAATTTCGGCTTTGATAAAAGTCTAAAGAAAAGCAAGCAAATACATGAAACAACTTAAAAAATTAAGGTAAATATGGAATATGGTTATACATTTTCCCTAAATGTGGAATACATAGCTGTGCTTGAATTGTTAGTACATCAGTGCAGAATATGTATGAATGGCTTTTCACATCAAAGTGGAAGTGGCTTTTCATAACCAAGAAAGAAGAAGCGTGTTTCAACAGAAAAATGGGCAAATGAACATTACTCAGACTGGAAATTTCTGTAGAACAAACAATTCTGTCTCAGCTGTTGCGTTTGCAGGGACGCTCTGTTTCTTGTCAACTCTTCTGAGAAAACACAAAAAGTTACAGTGTGTGACAGATTTGTAACAAACTGCAATGTCTTCCATCACCAGCGGCCTTCCAGCTGCCCCCCTGCCAGCTCATCAACCAGACAGTGTCTCTAGAGAAGGAAGGCTGTCCAAAGTGTCACCCAGTGGAAACAACCATCTGCAGCGGTCACTGCATCACCAAGGTAGTACAGGAAAGAATCTTATAGTTGTAAAAAAAACAAACAAAAAAAAAAACAACTCTCTGTGTCTCTCAGTTTAGTCGCTTTATTATTCCAGATGGTCAAAGATAGCCATCAGGGGAGTCACAGTACAGGGGATTTTTGTCCCTGATGTTCAGGTTACTATGGCAAGCATTCATGGAGACAGATAAAAGAGTTACAAGAGAAAGACATCATTTGCCTATCTACATCAAAAGTATCTAACTTCCTGAGGAAGTGCAAAAGTTGCTGTCCCTTCTTATAGACCGCATCAGACATAGCAACAAACATCTGACACATAGACATATTCATTGTATATAGAGTGAAATGATAATGACTGATGCACACAACATTTAAGATAGTATTGAGTGGTAAAATGTGTGACTAAATGGGCAAGTGTGAGGAATAAAAAGAACAACAACAAAAAAAAAATCAAATAAGCCAACTGCTAACTGGACTGAAAGTTAATAAAACCTAACTGTAACTGTCCCTCAGTTAATTTCATTTCAGTTAATCAATTAAGCCTAGACTTTGCTGCAAAGGCAATTACTTACTTACTTACTTAAAACAAAGAATCAGTTATAATATTAAGGCAAAGGAAAAATAAAATATATAGTGTCTATGTAGCAGATAATTCTTTGTCTTGGTGAGAAAAGATGTATGCTACAGTGTGCCTCAATGGATTTAAGAAATCATCTACATCTGCATTTTGTGTTAAACATTTTGTTTTGGCATTTATATTCACATTTAATTTGTATTTTCACGGGTTATTTAACATAAATTGTTAGCCCAGATGTGAACGTTTTGTCCAATAAGCGGTTGACTCTGTCACTGTTTACATCAGCTGTGCAGTCACAGACTCCTGCTCCCCACTCCACATATGATGCGTAGGTTAACAGCACTGTGGCAGTCTTCTTTTGAGATTAACTTGTTATTTTTGTTCCCCTCCAGGACCCTGTCATCAAGATACCATTCAGCAATGTGTACCAACATGTGTGCACGTACCGGGACTTTTACTACAAGACATTTGAGCTTCCTGACTGTCCTCCCGGCGTGGACCCGACTGTCACCTACCCTGTGGCTTTGAGCTGCCACTGCGGGCGCTGTGCCATGGACACATCTGACTGCACCTTCGAGAGCCTGCAGCCCAACTTCTGCATGAATGACATACCTTTCTACTACTAGTCTCAAGCAATAGCAGCATTCAACACATTAATAAACTGGATTTACATTCAGCATCAACTGTTGTAAATAAAGATTGTTACATTTACCAGTGCAAAAGAGTTATGTATCTATTTCTTGTGCAGTTACACTAGGAAATTACCCACATCTGACCTTTCTTCGAACTTACTGGTTAACACCCAGGAACCACTACGCCCCATCCTGTGTGTGCTACATGATGCAATACATGTAAGATCTAATCTGTATTCCAGTACAGTAGTTGAAATGTGTTTGCTTGTCATATTTGCCTCAAAAAGGAAAGACAAGAAAAGATAATGTCTGTTTAATTATAACAAGAATATTAAGCATTAACATTAATAAATATTTTATGTGCAGCGTCTCAAACTTACACATTATCTATACATCTTATCTTCTTGACCTCATGCGCATGAAATACAAAAACCGGCTCAGCTAATGTGACAAGGAGGGAGTTCCCACCAGACATAAATAGCTAATATAGCTACATTATGTAAAACCAGTCAGCTTTAACTGGGAGTGGAAAAACATCATCAAGCAAAGCAATGTGCTGTGGAGGTGCATATTAGACACAGTGGGAGTTATGTGACAACCCATGAAATTAATGTGAAGTTGACTAATTGATACCCAAATATCTAAACCCACAATCTTATGTGACATTAATGGCAACTACGGAACCTGTGCATCGCTGTTTTTTCTTGAGAATTTGTCACATACTCACACCCACACCCTAATCCAACTGATTTTACTTCATTATAACATGCTGATAAATTCGTACCTATTTCTGCTGCTCTGCTTGTAGTTAGCATTACAGGGACAAACTTCAGAAGGCATAGTTCCCATGCCAAGTTTTTGTTAACGTTTACAGAGGAGCAATAAAAAGCTCCCTGAATGTAAACATTACAAACTTGCATGTGATGTTCATGGCCCAGGACAGTATTCCATCTCAACCCTGCGTCCTCATATGAGGACATTACATTTTGGGTTTACTTGACCTTATTCTTCATTCTACGTAACATAGACCTGTTGTCCTCATTAGTGGACACGTTTATGAGCCATCTAAGAGCACAATACAGTAATCATTGTAAAAACAAACAGCTGCCATCTCTGCAAAGTCAGTCTGCGGCCGATCCCAACACAACAGTAGACAAGGACCAAAACCTGATTACATTTTGTAGTTGGAACTTGTTTATTCATTCATTCATTCACCTTCTAACCGCTTCATCCTCTTGAGGGTCGCGGGGGGGCTGGAGCCTATCCCAGCTGGCATCGGGCGAGAGGCAGGGTACACCCTGGACAGGTCGCCAGACTATCGCAGGGCTGACACATAGAGACAAACAACCATTCACGCTCACATTCACACCTACGGACAATTTAGAGTTATCAATTAACCTAGTCCCCAATCTGCATGTCTTTGGACTGTGGGAGGAAGCCAGAGTGTCCGGAGAGAACCCATGCTGACACGGGGAGAACATGCAAACTCCGCACAGAAGGGCTCCCACGCCCGGGATCGAACCGGCAACCCTCTTGCTGTGAGGTGACAGTGCTAACCACCACACCACCGTGCCGCGGAACTTATTTATTTATAATTAATAATGTTTGTAGTTTAATATGGCAAACATTTGACCAATTTTAGTAACAGCAACAAGCTAAGACACATTAGGAAACAGGAAGTAGGCCTACTAGTTTGCATTACATTGGGACTTTATTATTGTCTCATTTGAGGACTTGGGACTTCATTGTTGTGTCATTTGAGGACATTGGGACTTGATTATCATTGACAATGTTTAGGTTTTTTATACTTAGCGGGTCCTACTCATCCAAAATAGATAAGAAAAATTACGAATGCATACCAAACAAAAGTTCGGGTCTCAGGAGAATAGGGAGCCATGGGCGGATTATGAGTAAATGAACCCCACCACAGATTTTGTAGTTGTTATTCACCTTTTGTGGTTTTGTGTCTCAGTATGCTCATTTGTGCTTACTTGTGGTTGTTTTGTCGTTTCCTAGTTGTTTAGGTCTCTTTGGGGTCATTTTGTGTCTTTTTTAGTTTTATTGTGTATTTTTTGTGGTTGTTTAGCCCATTTTTTGTAGTTATTTTCTGTGTCTTTGCAGTTCCTCTGCATCTCCGTGTGGTCTTTTTGAGTCTCTTCCTGGTTGGTATGTGTTAATTTCACGTTCAATATTTTGCTAGTGAAGGTCAGGGGCCCCCCTTACGTTGTAGGCCACTGGGCCTGTGCCTGGTTTGCCCGTTCAGTAATCCATCCCTGTAGGCAGGCACTCCCATTCTGTCTGGAGACAAACATTATAGCTATTCTAAAATACCTGCTCTGAATTACATCCTGCCTCACACTAAAACACAAAAACTATTTATATTAGCTAAATAAAGATAAAAAAAGCAAAACAAACACATACATAAGCTATAATTGGTGGTAAGGAAAAAAAAAAGTTTGAGTAGAGTTTAGCTCCTCAAAATCTGGCGTCACCTTCTACAAAAGTGTTTGCCAGATGAATACATGTAAACATCAGGGAAAACTTCAAGAATATTATTTGAAAATTATTATTTAGTAATTAAAAAAAAACGTAGTCAAAGAAGGCAGACATTTCCGATTTTATCAAGAAAAAATATTTTTTTTATTAAAACTCCAGAAAACATAAAATTACATATAACATTACATAATTGATTCATATTGCCAAGCACATACTAAAAATACCTGCTCTCAATCACATCCTTATAACTAGTATGCCTACCACTAAAACACCAAAAATAAAACTTATGGTAAGTTAAGATAAACAAATAGTATGTAGTTTAGTATAACATCTGTACAAAAAAGCAAAAAAAAAAAAAAAAAGCAAACAGTTTTCGATAGACATATACAAATTATCACTGAGAAAAAATGAAGGACTAAATTATATATTAATATACATGAGAGACACCAAAAAAAAAGTCTTAAAGAGTTAAATTATTAAGATGTTTTCTCAGTGTTATATGTTACATACAAACAGACCTCTGGTTCTTATCTCTGGTCTTGTGCCCACATCTCTCAAACCTGCTGCTACTACTCCCAACTGATCCCAACAACCTGAACAATTTCCAAACAATTTCAAATTTACTGTTTCTCTCTAAAATACTTGAAAGATAAGTTGCAGCTCAGGTCCACATTCAACTTAGTCACAACAATCTGTTTGAACAATTTCCGTCCGGTTTTCACTCGTTTCGCAGTAGTCAGATAGCCTGGGTAAAAATCACTAATGATCTCCTAATGGCAGCTGACTCTGGGCTTTTAACTATTTTCATTCTTCTTGATCTAAGAGCAGCCTTCGATGCCATTTCAGATAACATCCTTCTAGAGAGACCAGCTACCACACTGACACTGCTCTCTACTGGTTTAAATCATATCTCTCTGGATGCACTCACTTTGTTCAAATTAGAAATTTCAGATCCAACTCTTTTCCAGTTACTAATGGTGTTCCAGAGGGCTCTGTAATTGGTCCCCTTTTATTTATTATCTACCTTCTACCTCTTGGCCATCTGTTCAGAAGATTCTGCATTCAGTCCCACTGCTATACTGATGACACCCAGCTTTATCTCTCCACCAAGCCTACTTCCACTCTTCCACTCTTCCACTCAATTCCCTTTCTGACTGCTTATTGGATATTAAATCCTGGCTTTCATCCAAATTCCTCAAAGTCAACAGTGATAAAACTGAGGTTCTCCTTGTAAGTACTAAACCACATACTTGGTCTGCATACTTTCATCTACGAAATATTAATTGCCTTTGCCCATCACTTACACCTCAGAGTACTGCTACCCTACCCATTCTGTGGTTACATACCATATTGATTACTGCAATTCTATCCTCTTTGGTCTCCCTCTTAAGTGTCTCCATAATCTCCAGTTGGTCAGCTGCCCGTACCATTACTCGAACCCCCTCCATCAATTGTGATTACAATTATAGTTAGAACTATTATTTAAAAGTCAAAATATAGGTTTAGGAATAAGACACTGTGGTAGCTTTACCGGCTCAGTAAATCAAACACAATAGCTGGTTTGCCTTTGTGATTAAAAGGTTATAAGGACAGATATCAACTTACAGCTAACAAACACATAAAAACATGTTTTATTTACATTTGTTGAAGCCATCACAGAACCAGAGCACGTTCACCAAATCATTTCCCATTGGGCAGTAAAGTGCATTTATGTATTCTGTACCCTTGGGATGGAATATGGATGTTTTTAAATTAAGAGCATTAATCTCATTAAATGCTTTTAAATCCAAAATGCAAGATCATAGATTCTTTAAGTTGTCAATGTTTTTAATTTAACTAGTTACATACTAAGTTTTTTCAACTTCTTTTCTGAATTGCATTCCTTTTGCTTTATTTTGTACTTCCTTTTCATAAATAGAATAAAAAAGACAAGCCTTTCTTGTTTCTGCAGTTTGTAAATCATATCAGCTGAAGACAGAATCTGTGTCTATCTAACTGCCTACACGTCTCCCTCTATTGTCTCTCTTTCTCTCTCTCCCTCTCCCCCTATAGCTGACTGTGGACATGTGTTCATTTCTACTGCTGGACTGCTGATATCACTGCTGTCCATTCTGCAACAACACACAGAGGCCAAAAGCTTGTCAATGGTCCCTTTCCTCATGAAAACATACAGAAATAGGTCTGCAACAGGATTCAACCTAAGAAACACAGGAAACAGGCTTCTGAGGGTATCGTTAGATCTGGCTTCATATACCAATAACAAAATGATGCTGGGCAGGAAGAACAGCATGTAAATGAGCAGCACCAGGACCAACATTCCTACAATTCGTCGTTTTTCATCAGAAGGGACAGAGATGGAAGCTGACAGGGCTTTAAGGGTCCCACCCAGGAAGAATATGAGCAGTGGGAGGGGAAGGAAGCAAAAGATGGTGACGATGATTTCTTGAACCTTCTCATCTTTGCAGAAAAATAAAGGGAGGAGAAAGGCAAAAGGAAGGACCCAGACCATGACACAAACCACCACAGAGATCTTGATGGTTCGTCTGAAGCGGTACCACAGTGGACATGCGATAACCAAATACCTGTAATACAAGACAGACACAGCTTCAGAATTATACAATGGTCAAAGACAAGCTCTACACATACTGTATAGACAGACTGATACCTTTCCAGAGCGATGCACACCATGAAGCCACCACTGGCCCCCACACAAAAGTAGTAAATATATGTGAAGACATCAACGATCTTGCGGTCTTTAGGTTGTGCCACCTCAGCGATCAAGCAGCAGAGTTGAATGAGGTCAGAAATGAGAAGGTTGCTGACGTAGATTGGAGCAACATGATCATTTCGCACCTGCAGGAAATCAAAAATAAACCAACAGCTGTAAACATGTTCTGAACTCCACCTCTTCCTAAATAAGTCATCTTGTTCTGCCCAGAAATTGCAGTCAGATCCGTTCATACATTTTTCTTTAACCCCTGTTTTGTGCAGTCAGATATGTTGCTTTACAATAAGGGCAGTATAAGCACTGAGTAGTATGAAAATAGACACGATGGACATAAAACAGACAAGGCAATTCAGTATAAAAAGACATGTAAAACAGTTTAAAACATGGATTGACTGATTCATAAAATCATAGATTTGCAAAACTATAAATCATAAAATCAAGTAAGACTTTAAAAGAGTCATAAATAGACAGTAAAAGTGAAAAACGAAAGAGTTTCAGACCTGTATTCGGAACGTCAGGGCCAGTTAAAGGCTAAAGGGAATGGATATGTTTTCAGGCGAGCTAGCTTCCCTGATATCTAGAGGTAGTGTGTTCCATAGCTTTGGGGCATAATTGGCAAAGGCTGCATCCCCAATCTTCTTCCAGCTGTTTGCAACCTCCAATAAACCAGCAGCAGATGATTGCAGTGTTCTTGGAGGCAAAAAATTAACAAGTGATCTAGCAATGTAGCTTGCTCTCAGCCCATGTAGGGCTTCGTATACAAGGAAGAGGACCTTAAAATCAATTCTAAATGTAACAGGGAGTCAATGTAGAGTAGCTCAGACTGGCCTGACGTGCTCTCTGCTCTTGGTTCTGGTTAATAGCCGAGCTGCAGAATTTTAATGAGCTGAAGTCTCTCAGTGGTGATTTTTGGCAGGCCAGGGGCCTCCCTAGTGTAGAGGTTACACTACTTTATCCCAGCCCTCTGACACCTGGCCCCCAACCCAGATCATAATCCTTTACAGAGAGACACATGACACAAACAGTAAATAGGTAAATCTCAGTCATGATGTTTATACCTGAGAAAAAAGAGCGTAGATGGCCATGAGGGTCAAAGGAAGGCCGATACAAATGATAATGCATGTCACCACTTTTATGATAAATCCAGTTTCTCCACGATAAAAGTAAGTGACAAATGGGGCAAAGACATAATAAAAGTCTATGTCTGGGGAGTAGGTATGAATGCTGGAGTAATCCTCCATTCTTCAGAGTAAAACCTGTAGTTAAAGAGATGAGGTTACAGAAGGGCAGCATGTTGTTTAATATGCTAACATTGTTAAAGATATCACTAAAACTGTTAGGTGCAACTTCACACACATACACACAGAATACATATATTACAACCACAATCAAATTGGATCAAATGTTACATCATCTGCTCATAATATCTAATCAAGGAATGAAATTCCAGACAGTGCAACAAGTTCCTGTGATGTACGTGTTGCTGTGAGGTCTTTACTGCGGCCACAGAACTTTGTTCACTTGTTTCAGTAATCTAAAGCAATGTTTAATATTAATGTACAATGGTGTAGGATGTTTTGCCTGTCCTCTAACCTCAGTGTCCCACTACTTGTTGAATGTCCCTCTTTGGATGAGGAGGATTACATGACAGATTTCTAAATTTGATAAACCATTTGCAATACTTTGCAAGAATGCAAGAAATGTTGTGCAGCTCAGGAATATCTTGCCAATCCTTCTGTGACAGGAGACCCGTGAAGGTAAATAAAATTTGGTAACATCAAGTAACATCTAAGGAGCACTTTTTCCAAGTATTGATTTTATGTTGGGAGGAAATTCTGATAAATCATCTGTCCACTAAACTGGAACTTAAAATGTGTACTTCTACTTCAGAAAGAAACATCATACTATTTGCCTGACGGGGACATGTTACTGGTTACACTGCACTGAGAATATAACAATTAGAATATCATGCATTATTATCTATTAAACTATCCAGAACTTTATCAGAAACAAAAGCTCCACCATGAACAAAATATACATTTAACATTTCACTTTTACACTAATGCACGGGCAGTGCTGCACAATGGATAAATGTATAAATAGATAAATGCAAAGTTTTCTCATGTGTCGGGTGACTGCTCATGATATTATCAACATCCTCCCTTCAATCTCAAAGAAACCATCGGAAAACAGAACATAACCCACAACTGATACCAGCCTCCATCTAACATTCTCTCAGAATTTTTTTTTACGTAATTGGTCTGTCTTCTAACTTTGATTAGAGTTGAAACCAGCTTTTCTGTTGCTGCGGCACTGCCTCTTTTGTTTTGAGGTTGCTCTCTTCTGTGGTTGGCTCTGATGCCAGCCTGCAACACATGCATTCCCCCACAAAGTTAAAAAAATGTAGATAAACTTGACTGAGGTAGTCATTATTCATGTATGAAACGGTTAGCTGAATATAACCTGTCATATCGTTTCACAACACAGAAAAGATATTTCAGCTGTCATAATTTACTGGAAAACTGGAAATATCATTCTAAATAGCTTTTATGAGATTAATGATGGTTTAGAACATACCTATTAACTGTGCGTGCGCTGTCTCATTTCCCTTGTTTACTCCTCATTACCCAGTTTTACTTAATTGAAAAAAGTGCAGTATCTTTTTCTTGCATGTTTCTATTGTATTTTACTTTTCAACTATTTTCTTAAAAATGCTCTTTTGTCTCTCTCACAATTTATGGAAAAAGAGCGAAACACCCAATTTAATAAAACATAGTTGGTTTAAAGATTCTGTACAGCTACAGCCCAAAGCTGTCTGCTTGTTAAAGGTTTCATAATCATTTCCTGCCTGTTTATAGTGCCTCTATCTTTTTCAATAATCTGTGTAATGTTATGTCACAAAATTTACCTTCGAAAGCTGAAAGACCCCACCTGAAAGCGTTTCCTACACCAGTATCTGATGCGACCTCAGCATCCAGTCTAAAATAAATATGGGAGGTTGTACCAGGCAGTATAGTTTGGTGATAATCTACCCTGAGGGGGTGTAGATGATCATTATCTTCTGAGGAAGAGAGAAAACATTGCAAAATAGCAAAAATATGCAGTAGCGCAAGAGGAAAGTGAGATTGATAAAATACCACAATGTAAGCAGTAATTAGCCCATGCATGTTAGGTGCGTATGCTCAAGATTTTGCTGTTTTGACGGGTAAATAGCAGCTAAGCCATACTGAGACACATAGATGTCTATTACAATAAGGCTAAAGGCATCTACTTTATATAGCAACCATTGTTTCAACAGCATTTCAAGCAAGTCAAGTGTATGACTACAAATGCTGCATCTGTTAGAAACATGTGTATGCCTGTTACATTTACCTCAAAAGAATAAAAAGAAATGAGTGTCTCTTCAGTTATAGCCAAATTAAAGAACATAAATATTGAACTTACAATTTTATATGTAGCATCTGATAATTACACATGATCCATATGTCTTATCTTATTGGCCTTATGCACATGAAATATACTTGACACAAACTGGCTAAATGAATGTGATGGAAGGGAGCCCACACCAGATATAAATGACAAGCTAATTTGTTTAAAACCAAAGTTATCTTGAAATGGGAGTGGAACAGCATCAGCAAATGAAGCAATGCATAGATGCACAAGATGTGTGCTTTGGAGTTGACTAATCAATCTGGACATAAGCCCACAATCTTCCGTCACGTCAAAGACCAATACTGTCTCTGTGTGTGTTACTGGTTCTTCTTGAGAACTTTGTCGACATATGTGCACCAACACACTTACCCATTTCATTTTACCATGTCAATGAATTAGGACCTACTTCTGCTGTTCTGTTTTTTCATTAGCATTACTGTGATGTAAGAATTTATCAATATTGCTAAGCACATTGCAGCTGATACATAATCCTGCTCTGAATCACTTCCTAAATGCCTCCCACCAAAACAGCAAAACTATTTGTATTAAATAAAGAGCAAAACAAGCAAAACAAACACAGTTTGAGATAGACATACAATAACTGCAAACAGTGGTGTTGTTAGGCCTGGGCATCATAAGCTTCAGCCCTTAATGTTTTATGAATAGATTCAAAAAGAAAAAAAAAAAGCATAGGCCTAAAAATAAAATTAGAATTACTGCCCTGTGCTTGTATGCCTCTGCATCCCAATGAAGTTTCTCTTAACCCCCCCAAAAACACCTTAAACAGGGGGAAAAAATGGTAGAAACCTTAAGAAGAGCAACTAAGGAGGGATCCCTCTTCCAGGACAGACAAACGTGCAATAGATGTTGTACAGAACAGATCAACACAATAAATTTACAGTAATCCATATGACACAATGAAAAATGATACATAAAGAGAGATAAAGAGAGATGCAGGACAGACAGTAATGACCATAGCTACAACAACATTAATTCAGGTAATAATATTAAAATAATATTTACAGTAATTGTGGTAAAATATGTTGTAAGTATATATTAATATATGATAGTATATGTATGTGACAATAATAATCATATGTGTATAATAACAGTAGAAGTATGACTAATGATAACAGCAGCAGTAGGAGTCATCGGGCAGGACCACAGCAGCAGCACAACCACGACACAATTCAGGTGTAGCTGCGATACGAGTTAACCGGCGAGACAGTGGAGCACAAAGACTCCAGAGAAGAAGATGAGTTAGTGACATGCAGTAAAGCGCAGTTAGCGATATGCAGCAATAGGACGTGAATGTTAGCAAATGAAGAATGAGTATTTATAATTGTGTATAATCTGCATAACAATGGAAATTTACAGAGCGATTTCTAATGTTACCTAAGGGAACCATGTATAAAGTGAATAGAATTGGGTCGAGCACAGAACCTTGTGGAACTCCAAAACAAACTTTGGTATATAAAGATGATTCATCGTGTACGTGAACGAACTGAAATTGATTGGATAAACAGGATTTAAACCATCTTAGTGCAGAACCTTTAAGGCCAAATAAATGTACCAGTCTCTGTAGCTGCATGTGATGGTCAATTGTGTCAAATGCGGCACTAAGATCTAATAAAACAAGTACAGAGACGAGTCCTTTGTCTGAAGCAATCAGAAGATCATTTGTAATTTTTTACTAGTTCTGTCTCTGTGGTATGATGCACTCTAAATCCTGACTGATATTACTGATTTTATTCATTTTGTGGGTGATGTTGGCCAAAAGTTCATCTCTTCGGTACAAGATATGATCTCCTACATACAAGACATTATCCTGACTTAGGACATATTATCTTCTACATAAGAGATAATGTCTCCAAACATTTTGTTCACTATCTCCTAACCTTATGCACAACCACTTCAGCACTGAGATATTATCTCCTATGTAGGAGATGTTGCTTTTAAAGTCACATGATGTTGAACTTGTGTTTGAGGAGAGACTCCTTCAGTGTGAACAGGAAGTGCACAAAGTTCTGTTAGAAAACAAGCAGAGCTCCATCTAAGAATCTGTTTCCATTCTTACTGTCTGCTGACTGTTTGTAATGACTTCATTCAACATGTTGCATCAGTCATATGAGGGTGAACACGTGCACATCAACACCACAACTGTAAATAGTGGGAGAAAAAGAAGCAGCCACTTCCATCAGCTGAGAGCTGACTGTAAAGATCCTGCAGACACATTGGAATGATCCAGAGGAAACAAACGGCCTCTGGACTTTAGTTTAGAGTCACAACAGTCATTGCTTCACAAATCTATCAGTGTATAAAACAGCTCATCAATGTGTACAAGAAGCACAGAAGGTCAGTTATCATTCATGAAGGTTCCTGCTGTCACATGAAAAACTGGAGACGCCTTCGTGTGAGTGTCTTTATTAGAGGCTGAGCACAGTGAAGTTTAGAGGACAACAACAGAGGACAACACAAGTCCACATGATGTCAGCTGTTGACAGCATGAGGACTCTTTGTGTCTTCCCTCTGTCTCTCTGCATCCTGTGGACCTTCAGCACCCGAGAGTTTGCCTGGACCCAGATCTGTCCCTGTCCTCTGTCTGTCCTGCTGACTGCAATTCTCAGTGAGACTCATGCAGACATTTGTCTCACAGACACAGAGACAAGAAAAACTGGAGGAAAACTTTGGAGGGAGAATGAAGAGAAATTAAAATTTTACACAAAAATCATAAATGAAAACAAAGAATAAAAAAACAGTCGAGCAGAAAACGAGTCATCTGTGGAGTCCAGAGTGTTTTCTTTAGTGC